GAAGCCAATCTGTCGGGAACATGTTTGCCTTCCTGCATACCAATGCTTTTAAAACCTTATCAAAGGCAATCTGAGTGCTTCCCTCAATCCAAGCTACAAAAGGTCAATGCAGTATTGCATGAATATGGTGTGGCGTGAAGGAAGTATACAACTCTATCTCGGTAAGCCACTAGCAGGAGCGACTTCTCCACGAGTCGTTCTTTCAAACTCCCTGAAGCACATGATTTGTCAAAGGTTCCTCACTCCGGCCAGCAGCGGATTCCCCAAAACTCAACCTGACTGGAACCTTCTCTTGCGCGTCGGCCTCGATCTAGGCAGTGCGAGAGGTTTGCTACAACTTCAGCGAAGGGGCGCTTAGAATGCCATCCAACTGCATAAAACCACCCTTACCAAAATGGCTTTACATCTCCACAGGGGGGCCCTATCAACAGCCAACATTGTGCCCTCAGAGCTGTTAGGGCCAACGCGAGGGAGGTGGCCTCTCAAGTGGAATTGCGCCATTCTGAGTGAGCGAGTGAGTGAGTGAGACATGAGGCTGGACTAGTTTGTAAGCTTGGTCAAGGCCAATTGGCCTCTCCAGGACCTGCTTTGTAGCCTCAACAAAAAAACACCAAGCACGAGTGAGACGCATCCAACCTTCAGACCGGCCAATGAAAACCTCGCCGTTGGGCCGCAATCGGCCCTGCGATCCGCTCTGCCATCCTTTCAAACGCAAGTGTGGCACGCGGCACGCGACGCCTTCAGCCGCCGAGTCGGACCCAGCGCGGGTAGCAGCCCTGGTCGCAGGTCAAGGAGCAGCCCTGCGTTTTGAGGTGACCAACCGACACTTGTGTGGAACCAGCGTCAGAGTTGGTGAGAAATCCTTTAACCTGCGAAGCTGGGATTAAGGTTTGGAGCTTGGGGGCTTTACGAAACCGAGGTATCTGAAGTTTGTCTGTCCTCCTTCTCACTTTGTCACTTCAGCTGCTTGTATAGAAGCAGCTTCCGTCTTGACTCACCTTTAAACCACTTGACACTGACACCCGTATCTTGGGCGCTCTGCTGACTCATCGCCTGGAGCCCTGACGGTTGGATGTTGCTCAGGGCCTAGGCATTGCACACCACGCTCATTCAAATCAGCCATAAAATGAAATATTGGTAGGCGCCTGGGAGCGTGGGAGCAAATGAAACGTGTTCGATCGGACTAATGGTAGCCGTGTTTTCAGAAAAAGTTGTCCTAACTCCAAAGCATCGTGAATAGCTTGAACATTTGAAGCTACTAGGTGGAGGCCATCACCATCGCTACGAGTAACAAGAAGCTACTATAGTATTTGGCTAAAAGCTACTAGTTACATACTCGAGACTCGAAACTGTATGGAGCCTTCAGACCGGACCACGATCCAGGCGATCCCACAGGCCTTGCCCTCTGGGCCCCTTCGCGATTCAAAAGAACACGGGCTAGCGAACACGGGCTAGCGCCCACGTGGAGATGGGTGGATCAAATGAACAATAATGGACAATATGAAATATGCTGAATTACATCGACTAAGCAAGCAACCGCGCCAGTTCAAGGCATGTCTTTCACTGTGGAGTGAGGCTTGTTGACCATCGCAATGCCGTCTACCGACACCTTGCTGACCCATGTAGCCCGTGCTCCATCCTTCCCTCACCTTACTTTTTGACACAAATCCTCAGATCCCGGTGACTTGGAAATATAGGCCATGGACCATGGATTGTAAAACCATTTGGTGTTGCTCAAAACCAACGGAGGAGCCGCAGGCTGTTGTTCGGAGGAGTCGTTCGCCTCAGCTTCAGAGGGACCTCACCATTCTTGCTATGGGATAGGGTCAGTTTTGGGCCAGCCAGGCACTGATCATCTTTCGCCTCAAATGGTAGACCAATGATGACCTATGTGAGGCAATCACTGGTCCAAACTGCTGTCAGCATTCCTCTCCCAAAGCACTTTTCGGCGTTTGGGCCAAACACTCACGGAGCGAAGTAGCCAAGGTTGCGAGCCAGTGGCACAAGGGTCAGGTGATGGTCAAGGACGAAATTAGGGTTCAAAAGCAGAGTTCCAAGATGTTCCGAACTCATAATCTAGCCTTGCAACCGGTCGACTTGTCTTGATGCCTGCCGACAAGCTTGAACGAAGAACCGCACTCAGTAAAGTCTTGGCAACAAGTGATGCCCATGCATTTTGGAAGGCGTCCTTGTCTACATTACTCAGTCAAGACTTGACTACCTGCTATACGAAGGTTCGCTTACTGTGAAATTTATATGCTCGCACTCGCACGTGGCGCATGTAAAGAAGCAATGGCCAATAGCTGTACGAGGCACGTTGGCGCACGGGCTGGGTCTTGGCAGCTTTCGCCGAGACCGCCGGCATGCCTGGCGGCTGCTTCCGGTTGCACGGAGTCGTCGACCAAGGCTCACCTGTGGCCATCCGGGATGCTGAAATGCCGCTGAATGCCATGCCGTGCGCAGTGCACTGGTTCTTCTCTTCTGCCTTTGGATGTTCGGATCGATTTCCTGAAAGACCTTGCCCAAGTCTGCTTTGTCAAGCACTAAACCACATTGAACCCCTGGAAACCCACATAAGACAAGTAACCGAGTCAGCCACATTCATGAGTGGCAGTTGCATCCCTGAGAAATGATTTGAAAAATGTTTGGCTAACTGGTCGACGAACGGCTAGCGCCAAGCAGCTGAGTGTCAAAAGCGCTTGCAAAACTATCTCCTAGTGAGCGTTTCTGAAAACTTCGATATGTCACAACACATGGCTTCCGCGAAAGCTTCCACAGCGCTTACGCGACTGCAGCTTTAGCTTGCCCGCTTAAGCACCTGCTTCATTGATCTGATATTTCTGCATGTGTCGGGTGGTTAGCTTGCTTTAATGCTTCTTGCCTAGGTTCTTTATACAAATCTGAGAAACGTCCGCCCAGTCACCTTTCATGCGATTTTGATCGATGTTGTATATTCTGTCACTCTACGGTAGTAGTGTTGTTCCCTTTGACCTTGCGGCCTGTGTTGGACACAATTGCCCCTTAGCCCCCCTTCAACCCACTTGAACTTCTGATCTTGAGAAAGCAGGGAAGTTCCCATTTTGGGCCTTTAAGCGCCACTCTGGCCGTTTCCGAAATCAAAGCTCACACCTGAGTAGTGTGGGGAGCTCTATCAAATTTGTTGACTTGCAAAGCTTTGGTTCTTTCACGTTGATTCACTTCGCGTCGAAGTAGGCATCATGAGCATGAGGCGCTGACGGCAAATCTCTGTGACCAAGACGATAAAAGATGTTGGAAGTTCAATGTGTTGACTTCCTGGTCGAAGAGCTTCCCATGACGGGCCGTCAAGCAGAAGGCGGTGGTGCTTGGCCACGGCTAAACTTGAACTTGAACTTGGGCGGGCTTGGAGTGGAGATGGTGGCACTAACTGGATTACCTTTTTTCACGTCGAGCGGGAAAAAAGGCCAGCGAAGGCTTTTGGTTCCCATTTTATGTTGGGCCTGTAAGAGCCACTCTCACCCTTTCCGAAATCAAAGCTCACACCTGAGCTTCTTGTCAGGATCTTTCAGGTTGATTCACATCGCATCGAAGTAGGCATCCATGATATAGAACTAACAGTTTCAGGCATAGTGCCAACGGATGGCGCAGAACAAGAAGCATGACTCCTGGTATCGCCAATTTCTGTGCTCTCTCATGGGTCATTCTGCGAATCTGCTTGAATAAAAGAATCTGAAATTGACTTACTCAAGGCAATGGACAGCACTCCACACACAGCCTCCTCCACCTGTACTGTGTTCCCGGAGTTTCTTTAAGCTAAGCCAGAATATGCTTTCTAGGAGAGCTCTTATCAAACATCATCCATTGAAATCGATCATCGTTGGCTAACTGCTGCCCTGATGGTTGGATGTTGCTCAAAGCCTGTGTTGAACGCTGAGGCCACGGCCGAGCAGAAGGCGGTGGCGCTTGGCCACGGCTAAACTGACTTGAACTTGAACTTGGGAGCCTGGGTGGGCTTGGAGTGGTCACGTCGAGCGGACAAAAAGGGCAGCGAAGGCTTTTGGTTCCCCATTTTGGGGCTTTTGAAAGCCACTCTGGCCGTTTCCGAAATTAAAGCTCACACCTGAGTAGTGTGGGGAGCTCTATCAAATTCGTTGACTCCCAAGCTTCTTTCACCCAATGCTTCAAAGGTGTGTTCTTAAAAACGCACGTTGTTGCAAGTGCATGCCTAGTGACAATGCCCGCAGTATAGTAGCAGAATGTTCATTGTAAGTCTCCAAGCATTCCACTGCGTCTGTCATTCTAAAACAGCAAGGAATCTGACCTCGGGCACATGGCATCGAAGGCTGCCATCTGCAACCCAAATTGCGCAATGAAGAGACGTTGAAGCCTTGTATAACATCGGTATGGAGAAGTCAAATGACTTTGTCTCGTCAATGTCAAGGCTGAGTGAATGACTTGCAGCCCATGTCAACCATGTGCACGACACTGCAACATGGTTGTTGCATGACAGCAGATTCGAGCACAAAATGGTTCAATCTGCCTGTGGCACAGCGACAAAGCATCCAAAGAAAGAAGCCCACTTTGATTTCCCCACCCGACGACACTTGACGCGCAGTGGACAAGCCTGTTTGCTATATGCCAGGTTGCGCAAGTGCAGGGCATCGAAGGCTGCCATCTGCAACCGAAATTGTGCAATGAAGAGACGTTGAAGCCTTGTAAAACATCGGCTTGGGGAAGTCAAATGACGTTGTCTCGTCAATGTCAAGGCTGTCGGAGCGCATGACTTGCAGCCCATGTCAACCGTGTGCACGACACTGCAACATGGTTGTTGTACGACAGCAGCTTCGAGCACAAAATGGTTCAATCTGCCTGTGGCACAGCGACAAAGCATCCAAAGAAGCCCAATTCAATTTCCTCAGCCGACGACTCTTGACGCGTAGTGGACTTGCAACATTTCAACAGAGATTTCAGCGGAGAAGGGCAAGCCTGTTTGCTATATGCCAGGTTGCGCAAGCGCATGCCTAGTGGCAATGCCCGCATCGTGTGTCTCTGTAGTGCGAGGCAACTCGACGGCGGTGGAAGCCAATATCGTTGTTGTACCTGGCGATGGAAGCCAGGCACAGGTGCACAGGAGTGTCTTCTTTTTTGGATGCTGCCCATGCAAGTAGGTACCACCAATAACACTGACTCCCAAGATCTACCAAGTAAGTAAGTAAGTAAGTAAGTATGCCACTCTTTGAGCCTGAACAAATTGCCGAGCTACATTTCGTTGTATGCATAGTAGGCACCAGCACCCATCACTGCGCCAGCCGCAACACCACCCGCTGCATACATAGCGGCATTCGTCTTGCTGCCAGAAGAGAAAGCATTGGAACCTGAATATCCGTAGTCTGGGTTCGGGGCCGGTTGCAGGCCAGAAATTATGTCGTCTCAAAAAGTCTAATTGGGAAATGGTTGAACGATGTCGAAGCAACCTGCTTCATCAAGCATCAGTCATGTGGGTTCTGTGGGTTGATGGGCAAAGAGAGTGATTTCAAGACCAGGAACACAACCGTGACACCATGCACTGTGTAAAGCAAAAAGGTGCATGCACCCTGTGTGTAAAACTTGCTCTGTGAACAACTATTGCATGGGTTCAACATGATTCAACATTTGGACCATGAAAAAAGCTGGAACATCCATTCATCAACGCCCAGAAGAAACCTGGAGAAAAGCACCAGACCTGACACAACCAGTCACCGATGTGGCTGCTATGGCTTCTTTGTCCAAAGGAGCTTGTCTTTGATGGCATCTTGTCGCCGAAATTGCTCATCACCCTCAGCAATTGCTCGTCGTCAGCCACAGAACTAACACACTCCATCTCACCCACTACAACAATCCCGGACGCACGTGTTGCATCATGTTGCCGTGTTTTTGTTTCTCTCGAGGTCTTTGTGAGACCAACAGTCAGCATATTAAGAAATTACACCGGCATAGACGGCATAGACCCCAGATAGCAACTAACTAACTGAAAAGACAGAAGCACCTGATGCAAAGAATCATGTATATATAATATAATTCACAACAACCAGAGAAGTAGGGAGACCAGTAAGATCAGTAAGTAAGGATACAAGGCAGCAGCGGCAGACGAAATGCTGCTCACACAGGCGGGGTCCACTCATGTAGGGAGACCAGTGGGGGTCCTCCGGGTTAGGCAGCGGCGAGGCCAAAACGTCGATCGGCCACCCGGTCATTGAGAAGGAAGAAGGGGCCGATAGTTTTCAGCGGAAAAAGGGGCCAATCACCCTAGAGCTGTGGCGCCGCTGTGGGCCTCTTTCTCAAGCGGCCCTCAACCCTCCCGGCACTTCACAAGAAAGCAAGGCTTTCTAGGCGCCCATGGTTAACAGACATCAACAAAGCACGTGACACTCAAAAGGAAGAAGAATCTCGCGATGAGCGATTCGGCTATTTTTCCGTCGATCTCACCTGCCATATCCTGCCACATCCATGGCCTCCTTTTCTCCAAATCCTTGAAATCCAGTCACTTCACCCTGCTCCTCACACACAAACCCACCCGGAACCCACGCACCGCACTGTCACCCAGCTTCCGCCTTTAACACCGGAAGAACCGGCGCTGTCCGTCCCCCTGCGTTCCGAGGCACGACGGTCGGTCGGAGTAGCCGTAGGCGATCGCCGGAGCGGTGCGGCGGCGGCCCACGGTGCTGGAGGTGCTGCCCGTCTCGCGGCGCCTGGAGGTGGTGTACCTGGCGGAGTGGCGGAGAGGCCAGGTAGAAAGGCGCCACCGGAGAGTCCAGTTGTCCCTGGGAAAAGAAGCTTCTTACTATAGTACTATATATATATATATATATAGTAGCCCAAACACCTGTTGGTTTACAAGGTCGTTGATCATCCTTTCACGAAAAGAATAAATCTCCAGATCCAACCCTCGTGACCCGCGCACGCCATCGTCTCGCACCGCCCTGCATCGCGGAACCCGGTCGATGGAACCGCGGGAACCCGGTTGGAACACGGTCCGGATGCGCGACCGCACCACGCTGACCGAGAAGGACGCGCGTTTGAAAGGGACGAAAAGGGAACAGTAGACATGTAGAAAGACGATGTGTTTTAAAAGCTCTCGGGACGTGGCAGGACATGCGATCTTGGGATGTTCTTTTGGGATTAACCCAGACTCTCCGAGGGCAAGGAATATGGCAACTGTCTAAGAGGATTTGCCTGGAAAGTTGCACCTGTTCTCCTCATTGTTAGAATTGCTGATTCCAGTCACGGTTTTTGCTGTTTTGATGTTACATGGTCTTGCCAGGCGAGCATGGGGTGCATCTACTCAAAGCGATCCATGAGTTCCTGCCAGCTACAGCTAAGCTTCAGAAGTTCTTGTCGTGTCGAGCGTCGCAACAGCAAGAATAAGAAGCAAATCTCGGTTGAAGCGACGACCCATCCCATCGGCAGTGTTCTTGAGATAGCTAGACTTGGAGATAGGGCTCTTCTAGAATATCTGGGAAGAAGGAAAAAGAAAAAGCAAACCCCAAAGCCAACACAATCAAACGACTGATAACCTGCAAGTCACTGACACACAATGCGCCTGTGTTGATGTCTGTCAAACGCAAGCTTCGAAATTAAAAGACTGATCAAAGTACAAAGGCACTGCCAATGGACCGGTGTGCAAGAATCGACCTATTTGCCTGCAAGTAGAAGGCTAGGAAGAAAGGGAAAAATGTTGAACAATGCAAGACAGAATGGGTTCAAGACTATGTCCATCTTTGCCGCTTTTTGGATGAGAACATATGAGAACCCTGTACCCTGCGCCTCGGGCAGAGCAGGGACAGATTCCTCGGACCAACTGATCGGACCCACTTCCAATCTTGAGCTCATTGCAGGTCTTAGCCTTAGCCATGTAAGCAAGTCCTAGCCGAACCCGGGAGCGCAGGCATCTGTTCTTCTTCGCAATGAGAATGCTGCAGAAAATTATGAGCTACAGCTTGTGGGATGACTGTTCATCTCACAAGTGATTCCGACGGCCACAAAATGAAAGACCTGTGGGATAAGATCCTACAAGCACCTTCAATTGCATGCCCCAAAATTGATCAGATCCAGAACCTCTAATGACTGGCAATCTGTAAGTTGAAAACTCACAGATTCCTGCAGAAGAGGCTGAATGACTGTACAAACGCAGGACACGAGACACGGCGCAACGAGCTGGGCCGTGGGATAAGATCCGACAGCACAGCCCTTAACGTACTGGTCAGACGCGTCACTGAAGCCTCAAGAACTCTGAGCAGCACGACATGCCCGAAAAGCTGTCATCCACAATTCAGCAAAACCTTCTTGGACAAGGCCGGATCTGGACACATTCTTGCGGCGATTCTTTCTCAAAGAACATGAGAATGGTAGCTTCAAAAAAGCGCCCAAAACAAGAAATCTGACAAAATGCAAAGGGCATGTCCTGCTAGCTGTCAGATCATGCAACTTGGCGCGGGTTGCGGGGCTGCCGACTTTCGCCGTCCCCGCAAGGCGCCGACTCATTAACTGAGAACTCAGACGCTGGGGCCACAAACGTCCAGAATGTGCGATCCACGCGAAGGACCAAACCTTCCTCCAAGCCCTCTGCCATATGTGCTTGGACATCTTCAGTAGCCTCACGGGCCGCTGAGGCCGCAAGATCATACCTTGCATCAGGGCGCAGGGCTGCACCTCTCACGTTTGAACCCCTAGAGTTTTGTGACAATGTTGCAACCTTCTGCAACCTTCTTGTAGAACATTAGGCTGGGGAGATCTAAGAAATTAAGATTTTAGTTGGAGCCAAGCTTCTCTTCGTCACCACGAATTCTGGGCCGCTGCCTGCACGGAAGGGCTCCTAAAGCGTTAAGCAAGCGACCCTTGTCTCCGGGGAAGATGACCACGTGGTGCGAACGAAGCTCCAAGCGAGCTTGTCTTGCCTGCTCCTGCGTCAAGGGAACAAGCAAAATGGCTCCATTTGCCCATTCTGGAGTCACCTCACAGCCATCCTCGGCCACGTCTCTTCCTTGGTCGGTGTGCTGCTTACCGAAAAACTAAGATATCGGGCACATAAGACATAAGAGTTGTAGAATTGACGCGCAAAACAAGTCGCAACCCATTACAACCAAGAATAGCACTTGTCAAACTCTTCACAATTAAGACTCGGCAATCATCCAGCTCCTTTGACGTCAGCAAGACATTTTTCACTTGGCTGTTGGAATGGGACAAGCGAAGGACAAGTGCCCGTGCAGATCCATCTTTGCCACCATTGTGTGCAGCTTCTGATGCTTCTGAGGCCTGCCTTGACATCTTCCTGCTCGGCGCCCTCTGGCTTTCACTCTCTGAGCTGCTCTCCGAATCCATTTCTGGCTCACTTGAATCAGTTGAAGAACATCTTGTGGGCGACATGCCAGTCGGGTCAGAATCATCCAGCACAACTTCCTCTAAAGTCTGGGAGCCGACAAGTTTCACATGCTGCTTCATCAAGTGAAAATTTCTGAACATTCCAGCGCCTACCCTCGATTTGGGCTTCACTATCTGAAAATGCATTTCCGGCAAGCCCTTCTCAAGCATCACCCCGACAACCGCCAGCTCCGTCCGACCCCACTTGATTCGATCGCCATGTTTGAAGCCACCAACCGCAAGGCACACTTCGTCCCGGATATCGAAGAGCCCAGGTCGTGATCGACCGCGCAATCCCATTGGATAGTTGAAGGTAAACTGCAAGCCTGCAATGAACTCTGGACTGAAGTCTCGCTCAGGCTCTTCAAACTCAGCCACTGTCTTCCTTCCCACCACCGTTGAGGTCATGCGAAGCAACTCCATCTCTCTGAAAATACTTGCACCCGCAGCACCATCTCTGTGCATCCAAAGGTGTGGAACTCCTTCATCATCTGGCCTGACACCAATCACTACTGATTTGCGATCAACAAAACCATGTTGGACCACATCGCCGTGTCGGTATCCTCCCACTGCCATGCAAACCTCATCTCTGATGTCAAAGAACGCTGGGTCACAACTCTTCTGCAAGTAGTGGAAGCTGTAGTCAAACTCGAAATCACTTGGTAAGCCACTGGGCTGAGAATGGGGGGGTTCTTTGCTGCGACCTTTTCGCACCAGCCAGCAAGGCTTCGAGCAACTTCTCCATCCTTGCTCCTTCCTCCGGCCTGTGGAATATCGGATCAGAAGGGGACACCTCCTGCAGCTTTTGCTTCCCAACCACTCTCAACTCCTTACGGTACAAATGATATGGGTTGAAACGGCCTGCACCCCGGTTCCCTTCTGCTCGAAAGAACAATCGTGGGCGTCCATCACTTTTTTTGACGCCCACAACAACAGCCTTGTCGCCATCACCATCCGAAACCACCTGCCCGTGGCAAAAGCCGCCCACTGCTCTGCATACGTTGTCCCGAATGTCAAAGCGGGCAGGCTTCGAAAACGGGTTTCCAAGCGGGAAACTGAAGGTGCACTCCAGTTTGCCTGCTAGTGCTTCGACTTCAGGCGATAGCGCCGGCTCTTCCAGGAAGTCATCTGCGGTCTCCTCCACCTTCCGCGTTCCAACCTCGGGCAAGTTGCACTCTGCAGGACATCACCGCAACAAGAAAACGCTACAAAATCATGCGAGCACATCATACCTACATATATATATATAATATATACATGGGGCACAAACTGAGGCTGGCACCAGTACAATTTGCTGTGTACTCAAATCATCAAAGGTGCCAGAACCGGGCTTCCCGTCAAGGTGGAAAAAGAGTTTGGGAATGCCACGCATCAAGCGCACCCCAATTACCACAGCAACCTTGTCTGCTACCTTGACCAGCTGCCCATGCTTGAAGCCACCCACTTTGACGCAAACCTCGTCCCTGACATCAAAGCGCTCCAGTGTCATTCCTAGATATGAATTCGGGCCCCACATGTACTGGAAAGATGGCTTCACCATCTTGGCAACTTCCATCAACTCCTGGTTGTTGGTCCCAATGGGGCGCTTAGCCTCCCTGACTCGTTGCCGACCCACAACTCGCATCTGGATGCCATCTGCCTCATCGAAAATACCAGCACCCTCCGCTCTTTCCACATGGAAAAACATCTCGAGCTTCTGCGCAAGATGAGGCAAAGGCGAAGGCAAGGTGGCCACTCCAATCGCAACAGCCTGCATGCCCTTGACTTGCACTCGCTGGCCATGTTTGCACCCGCCAACAGCCTGACAAACCTCATCTCGTATATCAAAGAAATCTACATTCGCACATCTGGTACCATGGAGATAGGCGAAAGTGCGGCTCAGGTGGCGTGGTTCCACGTGGGACTTCCCACGTTGAAGAGCCTTCCTGCAAGCATTTTCATGCTTGAACTCATCCACATAAATCAAGTCGCAGCTGCCATCAGCACCGATTCGGTACTTGTTCGCGCGGCCACTATTCCACTGGACACAGGCCCAGTCGCCTTCAATAGCTTGAATGCGACCAACACAACCGTCTCCACCATCCTGGTCATTCCAAATCCAATCAAGGCCACGCTGCACCATGGCTCCTTCGATGGCATTTTTCACTGTCACACGTTCGCCAACAGGCGGCTTTGGAAGGGGAGTCAAGTTCACTGGTTTGATGCTCTTCAAGCTACCGTCCAACAGCTGAACCTCATAGCGTCCATCTTTCCTTGAAACCACCAAGCACTTCTGCCCATTCAAATGGGTTGCCCCTGACAAGCCACTGATGCTGCAATACATGCCCGATGCCAAATGCGGAGCTTCTGGAGGATCAGTCATGGTCTCAGTGATGCTCTGGAGGTTTTTGGCGTGGATCAGTTTTCTTGAACCGTTTGAGAGCTCCACGGTGTACCGGTGCCTCTGAGACTGGAACTCCACAACCAGCGCACGCATGCCTTGGGCAACTATGAAGAAGCTCAGCAATAGAAGAGGAATGAAAGTGGACCCATGCATTAAGTCTGGTCTGCAGTAAGTGTCTGTGTGTATGTGTGTCTTGCTAGTTGCACCACCTTATTGAAATTCATTGCAAGGCACCATTGAGAGATGGGGTGCCAACCAAGCCATGAATTTCAACCCATGATCCAGTGGCAAAGTGATCTTCGGAGCACTCCTGCTCCGTGTCAGGCTCTCTTCCTCTGGCTGTGGACGAGCCAACGGATGTGTTGTCATCCGTGCCGGTTGGCAAACACGGCGAGGCACGCGCAAAGACCGACAGCCGTTCTAACTCCATGAGCGCTGCCGCCCGCTCTGCTTCGGGGAGTTCATTGTTGATCGCGGCCTCTGAATCCACGAAGTAGCCTTGGAGCAATCGCCGGACAAGTTCTACAAGGCTATGGGGGGGGTATAGACAAAAGCAAGAAGTGGAAGAACTGAGCAACTGCCAACTCATAAACTGCATTAAACAATTCCACTACAAATCCCACTCGTGGCCGAGATGTTCCCCTAGAACTAAAACACTCTTATAAAAAGTTGGTGGTGGGGCAAACAGTCCCCAAACTAGTGGTCAGCAGAACAATGCAAATAGCTCTGCATCAAGGGGCTGGGAAATGGATCTGCAGCTAAAGTTCTCTCCTGCTGAGAATGGGGGAATTGCGTCGCCAGCGCCATGGAAAACTCATCTCGGAGCATGTCCTTGGTCTTGCTGCCACGCCGGCGGGCGGAGCGAGCATCCGTGTAGTAGCGCGTGAAAACCAGGGCCACGTGCCGCCAAAAGCGGCGGCCAAAACACTCTTCCATGAGCCGAAGCAAGTTCTCCAGCACGCTGCCGATGCGAGGCTGCTCCGAATTCAGCACCACAACAAACAAGCTCACAGAACCTGGGCTCAAGGAGCCGACAGAAACAAACATTGAATGAGATGCTGACATGTCGTTTGCAAAAACGCGTGCATCTCCCAAACAACGCGGATGTGCGGGGAACATAATGGAAAGTTGAAGCTATATAGAAGCTGCAACTTGCCACACCCCTGTCCCAAGCTGTGTCTTGGCAGGACTTCCTAGTAAAACGTTCAACTCACTGTTCACTGTGAACTATCCGAGAAAGCTCAACGAAATCCAGAACTCAAAAGCCGCGTGATTTATATGCCCAGGCACCAAGGTCGCGAAGAAGGCGAACCACTTGCGCCAAGCGCGTGGTGTCTTTCTCTCCATCTCCGACCCCCGGCGGATCCACCAAAACCAACTCCTCTTCAGAGGCACGCCCGAACCACCTGACCAAAGACCGGGCAATTCGATCGGTCCAACTGGCGGGATTTTACAACGTAGACTTTGAACATACCTCAAAGAGTGCAATTAGAATTAAGCAAAACATTCCAACAATAAACTCTTTTTTCTTTCACTTTCACGACACCAGAAACTTCCAGATTGCCCGCCTGCAGCGGTGGCAGACGGCCTCCAAAGTCACAGCTTGCGCAGAATCGCCCACTTTGAAGATGCGATTGCTCGGGGGAAGCCCAGCCAAGGCGGTCGCCAGCAGGCTTTTGCCCACACCGACCGGGCCCAAGAGGACCACAACAGGTGCACCTGCGGATTGCGAATCACGGGTACCACTGGTTTACTGTTTGTTTTTGTTCTGGTTCAAGGTTCCCATAAAAACTGTCCAGCGCCAGTCAATTGAGAGGTTGACCATGCCTTGTGGCGAAGGGAGCGGCATCTCTCAGATTGAAGACTTGGAGCCAGCGCTGAGGCACTCGCCAAACACGTGACAATTTGGAAAGCAAGGTGTGTCAAAGTCTTCCAATAAAATGCAACAAAACTTGTGAGCGCACACTGCGCCCAATGCAAGAGTTAACATACCGCTATCTCTCCAGAACGTTGCCTTTAGCCCTGCTCCCTACCGCCATGGGTAAAGCTGGACAAGAAGCTAGCTAGGTACAACATGCCTCAAATCTCACAAAACTCAATAAAATGCCCTGCCTTGAGGTGTTTCACAGTTAGAATAATCTGGACAAATGTAGAAACGGCCTCAGGCCTCAGGTCCGGCTTGACGGAGGACATGACATCAGTGAACGACGCCGAAGCGATGGAAGCTGGCAAGAGTTGCTTTCAGGAACAAGACCGAAAAGCTCTCCGCGGCTTCATTTGCCCGACAAGACTCTTCGTCCCACAGGAGTCAAGAGTAACAAGCAACGTTTCTCCCAGACTCTGAGCCACCTGCTGCATTCCTTTTGCACACATGTTTTCACGATACGCCTGCATCATGCTATTTGTATGATCAACAAACAAAAAGGCTCCCTCCAACTCTGAAAAATGGGGTCTGCTAAACCCACCTTGACCTAGCATCGCCAACTCTGTGTGCACTGGCAGAGACAGTGCATTTCACACATGCGGCATTCCAAGTGAAGGTCCCAGCCAAGAGCCTCCTGCTGCTCGCGCCAATTGCACACCAACTTCCAGTGTTTTTAGAGCCCTGCGTCCAGCTCTTCACAATGCTGAAGTGATTCGAAAGGAAAGCTTTTTCGGCGTAGTTCAAATCTCTTCAAGCGCAAATGAATGTCAGATTTCCCCCAGCCTTGGCCCCCAGCCTTGACGCCAGAGGCCTCGGAGCTCTGTCTTTCAGACACGAGTCAATGACCGTTCGAAAAGGGATTCCACTGGGTAAGTATTCGATGGCAACGAAAAAAGGAAGGCGGGGTGGCAAAGAAAACCATCATAAACTATACACTAAACTCCGAAACTCCTTCAAATGCACCGAAAGCCGACCGATGTGTTCTGATTGATCTAGCGGCACGAAGAAAGGAAAATCCTTGGCAGTGCCAAACGCTTGTCAATGTTTTTGCCTTTCATCTGGGCCTCAAGCGTGGGGTTCAGGCTCTTCTAGGCTCTCCACACCTGTCGGGACATGACAAGTCTTGAACAACTTCCTGGTCAATCACAGCGATTGCTTCAGACATTTCTTCGGAACCTCAAGACCTCAAGCCGCACTGACCCAGACTCTAACTCTGAACCTTGGCAGCTGTTGCATCGCTTCGTCGGATGCAAATGATCCGTTTTTGCACATCAAAACTGCTGCAGAATTAAGAGCAAGACTTGTGGGATAACAGTTCATCTCACAAGTGATTCCAAAGGGCGCAAACTGAAAAACCTGTGGGATAAGATCCTACAAGCTCTTCCAAAGGTGCACCCCAAAATTGATCAGATAAGGAGTCGCCTCTAATGACTGGCAATCTGTAAGTTGAAAACTCGCAGATTCATGCAGAAGAGGCTGAATGACTGTACAAACGCAGGACACGAGACACGGCGCAACGAGCTGCGCCGTGGGATAAGATCCGACAGCACAGCCCTTTAACGCACAGTCAGACGCGTCACTGAAGGTTGAAGAACTCCAAGTGGCATGACATGCCCAAAGAGCCTCTACTCCCCAACTTGAGGACGGATCCGGACATCCATCTGGCTATTCTTGCTGAAAGAAGTGATGGCTGATGGGTGGGTCTGGACATTCATCCATCTAAGTCCATCTAGCTATTCCAGAAATGAAATTGGCAGCTTCAAGAAAGAGCCCAAAACAAGACATCTCACAAACTGCTAAGAGCATGTCCTGCTAACTGTCTTAGACTTCATGGAACTTTGGCCGGTGCACAGGACTGGGCCTTCCCGAAGAAGGCACCTGTCACAAGCACGCGAGCGTCTTCCTCCAAGGCAACTATCAAGTGCATTTGTATGTCGTCCTCCAAGGCGCCCGTCCGCAGTCGAGCGTCTTCCTCCAAGCCTGCCACATGCACTTGGGTGTCTTCCGAAGCCTCACGGGCAGCTGATGCCGCAAGATCATTCCTTGCACCAGAATCGCAAAAATGAGAACCGTTCATCTCACGATTGAATTTCTGACTTCGAGGTACAATGCAACCTGCTAAGTTAAAACAGTGCCGGTGGCCTAGGAGATAAAGGACATTGAAAGTTTTGCATCCAAGCTTCTCTTCATCCCCACAAAATGTCAGGCATGGAGGGGCTCCCAAAGCGAGCAAGTGGCCCTCTCTTGGAAAGAATACCTCTTGGGGCGAACGAAGCTCCAAGCGAGCTTGTCTTGCCTGCTCCTGGGCCAACACCTCGCAACCATCCTCGAGCATGTCTCTTCCTCGGTCAAACACGTGCCGTTGACTGGGGACAAACCATATGCGCAAGCAAAACACACAATTTTAATGACAGTAAGCCGCTTTACAACCAAGAATAGAACTTGTAAACTCTTCACACTCAAGACTCGGCAATCATCCAGCTCCTTTGACGTCAGCCGGACATCTCTCGCTTGGCTGTTGGACGCGCGAAGAACTTCTGAGGCTTCTGAGGGCCTTGACATCTTCTGGGTCGATGCTCTCTGGCTTTCACCCTCTGAATCGATCTCCAAATCGATTCCTGGCTCACTTGAGTCCGTCGAAGAACACTTTGTGTCGGACATGCCAGTTGGGTCAGAAACTACACCCATGGGGTACTGCGAAGCAGCTGCACTAAGAGTGAGCAGTAAATCCAGAAGCCAAGGAATGCAGAAAACCACTACAAGACACTAGAGGAGAAGACCAAAAAACCAAGCCAAACAGGCAGCAAAGCAAAATGATTAGAGCATGAGAGATCCAAATCCCAAGCACTATGGCCCGTGTTGAAAACCATCCTGTGGCTGTAACGTATCTCAAAACGAAGTACTTCCCACATTTGAGGAAAAGACCAGAAGCATGACAGTTGAGGTTTGGGCATCTCTGAAATGTTTCTCTGCCACAACACCACTTGAAAATGATACAACATCCAGTATGTACATACATCAACGCCACGCCACACCACACGCAAGCCAATTCCCATGATCCCAAAGCCACGGGCCTCCGCCCGTGTGTTTCGAAACGAAACTCGTGTTTCGCAGAGAAGCCAGCGCACAACAGCGAGGAGGAGTCCTCCAACAGCGAGGTCGGCAAGCGTGTGAGTCGGGAGACTGGCCGGCAAACTGGGAGACCGTCAACACCCAGGCTGCAGCACCTGGTTCTTGCTGATTCGACTCGCTGATGGCCGTGCATTTGATGCTGGGAGGCAGCGGCAAACGCATCAAAAAGAAGTTCCACTTCTGCTTCGATGGGGTCATCAATACAAGTGAATCTCGTCTTAGCAGCACACCAATTTATGGAAGATTGAAGGATGTCACAAGCTTGGTTATGTAAGCATTCTCGCTTGATTCCACTTGCCCCTTGCAATTCTCAACATCCTCATGTCAAATTCTTAGAAAACCTTCAAAGGCCTCAACGTCATCCAGGCACGCGGTCATCCCTTTGTTCCTGATGCGAACAGTCAAGGCCAGTTTGATCAAATGTGCTTCAGTAGTTTGCCAATCTCTCCAACCGCAAGTCATCTGAATCTAGAAACGCATCAGGAAAAAAAGAACCGGTGGCAAGCAACATGGGTTCTTCACCTATTGATTGCGTTCTTCGTTTCGACCCTCTGCTAAACAAGTTGGACAAAAAATGATCACGTCGATCAGAACCGGACGCTCCGCCCCTCGCACGCCGAGATTCGCTCCGAGGCCGCGGGGGGCCCCCCACGCAGAGTGTGTTTCACTCGTGCGCATCGCTGCTATGTTCATCCAGGTGAAATTGGCCAGTTGAGTTGCTGTCTTGCATTGAAAAAACTAAGTTCGGGTGGAACAATGGATCAGCGGATCAACAACCCGCATATGAGCAGCTTTTTGTTGTCCCGTAAGCAAAAATAAAAGCATCTATTGCGTTGGCTCATCGGTCTACTACGTCGCGAATGGCTGACATCGATTTAGCGTTCATGATTCATGCCGTGCGCTGATGTGTGGTGCTGAAACGGGTCAAAAGCAACTGATTTGCAACACGGGTCAACGATATCTGCGAAGCTCGTTCTCCCCTTCCAGCTATTCACAAAGCTGGGAGGAGCTCTGCATGACTCTAGTGCCAGCGAGTCACTTCAGCCTTTGCTCGCAATCCCAACAGAAATTCTTCTTCACCTACCACCATTTGCTACTTTGCTGGCAAATACGCAATCACCTGTTCATAGAACAACTGCTACTAATGTTCAACCAGGCCTTTCAAAGCAATTTTTGGTGCAAACAAATCATGTGTCGAGCAAGAAGAAGCTGAGCTGCACCTCTATCATTTCGACCCTGTCATTTTTCCAAAGAGTGCGCGATTGAAAGGAAACTCCATGCATAGTACATGTGACATATTCTGGCTCTTAAGCTGCTTGCATCCCACACCCTGCGTCTATAGAGTTGCAGTAGAGTGATCTCCACTACATTCTTCGCTGGAAGTGACGAAAGCTCTTGAGAATAGTGTCTGTGTCTGTGTGAAACCAGCTTTTTAACAAATTGAAAAACACCGAAGGCTGTGACAATGTGCTGAGTCCATTCCCACCTTTTCCTGGTCTTGAGACCAATTGAGCTTTCACCCCAGCTGCTCGCAGGCAAAGTATGGAAGCACTAAGGAGCCCCATGGCACAACGGCAAGCAACCATTAATGCAGAACTAGCCCCGTCAAGCCTTGACTTTGACAATACATTGAAAGTTATAAATTCTATGTAAAACGATTCGGGTAAACGACAAAATAACTAAAAGCACAACTCGGAAACGTAAAAAGAATACAACTGTCTGAAATTCATCAACAAAGGCTTGGGTTCCCAAACTCTTCAAACAGTTTCAGCCGCATCAGTCTGCATCGAGACTTTCGACTCTGGGAACATGTATGTATAGTATGGAAGACCAAACAACAGGTCCGGTGAAATGTGACGCTGCAAAATCTTGGCAGCCGTGCCACGAGGGTGATGCCCCATCGAAACACTCCCATAGATGACCAACGAGGGCATCGTATCTAAGAATCATGTGTGTCTTCTTGTCTTGCAAGATATGTACGACATGATATGACATGATATGATTCTATGTTAGGCTTTAATGCCAAAACAGCGTCTCAAGAGGACCTGCCTCTTGAAAAAGCTCAGCCTCGTAGTGCAAAGAACGTGATGACGGCCATCACAAGCGGGCACCACACTGCCACAGGTGACGAGGCACCAATGGCAGTGGCAGCACATGTTTGTCCGTTGAAGCCTTGGGAGGGAGGGAGGGAGGGAGGGAGGGAAGGAGGGGGAGGGAGGGAGGTTCGTCGAAATCTCTAGCGTCTTCGACTCTCAGGCGTTGAGGCACTACACGATCAATGTGAAGATGAATGATGCTGCTGCTTGCATCTCTACACGGCAACTGTTCTTGCAACTCTACGCAGCTCAGATCTTAAACTACGAGCCAATAGCGGTCAATAGCATTTATAAAGCGAATCTCACACAAGCAGCATCGAGTTTGGAGACAAGCAGCAATAGCCGGAATCACACTTGCATGATCCACTCTCGCATGTACTATGCTCAATCCAGCCTGAGTTTGTTCAATGGCTTCAGGATCTTTATATCACATGTTGTACCTATATGTAATCTTTTAGATCAAAAATCAAAACTCACAAAAGTCAGCCAAAACGGACCGACATTTCGAGGCCATCACTGAAGGGCTCTTCACTGAACGGCCGAAGTCAACTGGGTCCAAAACAGAATGCAGACAAGAGCACAGCTGGAGCTGCTAGAGCAGGTCGTTGTTGTATCCCGGTCACAATTGGACCCAGATCTGAGCACGGCCTCAAAGCGAAGCCGCGAAAGCCCAAAAGAAAACCGACTTCGTACTCGCTGGACGAAGTCGTGCAAGAAGAAAGGGTGACGGCGGCGAGACGTCGCACTGCGGGTCTACAAAATGCCGGAGTGGACTCCTCATTGGTTGGAGGCCATCGCTAATAGGAGCAAGGACGCTATTAGGTGGAGGTCATCGCAAGTAGGTTGGAGGCCATAAGAAGCTACTAGGGTCATATTGATGGTTGACAATTACACCATTACAAATTGCAAAAAAATACAAGCCTGCTGCTGGGGTTGATCAATGTTGATCACATCCAGTTACATGTCTTGATACATCAACCACAAACTTTCCCCCATGTATATCCATGTATCGCATGGCTCCTAAAAAATGGGCACCCACCCAACGCCCTGCTGTGTGAATTGTTCTGTGCGTGTGGTTCGTTCGCTGGTCCCAAAACAAACACTCTTGCTCGGCAGAAAAGAGGGGTCGGACCGTCCGGACCCATCGATCCTGCTCCGTGAGCACGAGGAAGAGGTCGGGCGTCACGGCCCACGTCTTGTTGAACCTCGGCTTTACAAACATCGATGGCGCCAGCTGACAGTTCCCAGGCAGGTGGAGGATGCAAAAGAACACCAAGCCAACGCGCCAACACCATCGTTATATATGTCCGCTGCAAATTGAACATAAATTCTCAGGAACCATGGCAAGCCGCAAAGTCATGGATGATTCCTTCGTTGCAGCCGTCTGTTCCGCTCCACAATGTCTAAGGGTGGAAGGCACACCGGACGTACCATTAACTACAACCAAACTGTTCAAGGGAAGAACAAACCCAGCGAATGGAACGCAGAATGGTCTACTGTGACAGCAAACGTACACGGACCGGACGCCCCACGGTCCGTCCGTCCGAGGAGCGTATCCACCAGCGACGCCTGCGCGGCTGTGGTGGGAGGGCAAATGCCGCTCACCGGATCGGTGTCGATGCCTGCTCCACTGATGGTGGTGAAGGTGACCTTCAAAGGAGAGGTATAGCCTGATGGGGGTCCAAGACGGTCCGACACGCACCGCGTCGGACGCACGTGAAACAAACAAAGATACCTGCGGCGTAAAGAAGCAGGGAACCTGCACGAACTCGTCACGAACCCGCACGTGTCTTCATCATTCTTCATGTGTTACTCTAGGAAGACCGCCCGAATGGTTCCCGTTCTTGAAAATCAAAGTTGCCAAGCAAAATACGTCGACACATCCGACACAGGGATGTATCATGATACGTCCTATTGCAACTGATGTAAAATGCAGTGGAATCAGCACTAAACGGCTCGACTCAAGATCAATTCCACGTAGAGACAGACTTTGCTTTGGGTTTTAAACATAGGGCTGCACATGCAAAAGAAACACAGCTCCCCATTCATCTTGAACCTTCATTCACTACCCCTGATCTTCGTTCAAGCCACTTGCTGGGACAAAGCCGGTGGCTGCCAAGTCGTCTCGGTTGAAATTGGTTGGAGCGGTGTAACCGCAGCCCGAAGCCGTCTGGCAAGAACTGGAGGATGGGCAATAGGAGTATCCTCGGTGCTTCGGAGTAAGTTTGTCACCCGACAGGAGGGCTCCTTCTAACTTGGAACGAATGGAAATTGGATCCAAAAACCCGCCGTTGTCGTTGTCGTTGTCGTTGTCGTTGT